GGCTGACGCTGACAGGGCGGTTCGAATGGCACGTATTGATAAATACCCTCACTGTCATCCAGGCTTTGTAATTCGAGTGATTACTGAGAGGCATGGCTAGAAAATGTTACGGTGTATATCTGGTGATCCCCCATTAATTAACTATAAAGGCAAGTTGACCATAGGGGCAGACTGGAGGGTTGTTTAGGATGACGTGTGAAATGACACCAACGGAGCGGATGGTTGAGAGCTAAGTAGACGGTTACTTATGATTAAGGATTCTCGACATAATCCTAAACGTCAGGAAAATAAACTTCTTGTTTCAGGGATCGCATGTTCTTCTGAGCTGAGTAGACATTTAAGCAGATATAACAGGTCCAGCAAAGGAATCGTCGTAGACCTCACTAAAGTGTACGCATTCGGAGTTCTGCAACTGCTTGCTTGAACAATCGTCCCATCCTACCCCACTTCGAACCACAGAAGTCGGTTAGAGTGCGTGGCCTGTCCGTTCTGTGCGGAAGTTTACACCCACAGACTTCAACGCATGGTTCGAGCGGTCATCTCTGCTTGAGGACAACCAAGTTTGCATACATTCGCAAGGCAAAAACTGGTCATTTTCATTTTCAACCCGAGATGTTTGCCAAATCAGCATGCAGCATAAACAGAGAGAGAGAGAGTGCAATAAGGGTCACCAAACATAGTTCGACATACCTAGAGCGTTTCGTCAGCGGATCTCGCATGATCATGCACTCCTTGATGCTGCCGAAGGCTTGAAAGTAGGACCTGAGATTTTCTAAAATGATGATAATTAACGTTAGCCTGTAGCAACATCCTGGCTTGACATGCAAAAGTATAATTGGGCTTGATATTCACAGGAGTTGGGTGCCAGAAAGGCCTTAGGTCACTTTGATGAGACGTGTGTTGTGATGCTTGAGGCGTGTGAGCACGGTTGGCTTCAGACTCCGCTAGCAAGGCCCCATAACTAGTTTCAGATTGCCAGAAACACAACAGCCCCACCAGAACTTCAAAGTACTACCCGTGTGCAGCAGTTAAGGTGTGTCAAATTGGATTGCCAACAAGCTCACAAGCACAGCGATAACTGAACTCAAAGATAAAACAGGTCATCCAACCAGAAGTTTCGAGAAGGGAAGAAGAAGAAGAGGGGGGTAGAATGTTAGTAATAATGACACTGATGAGAATGCGGAGATGGGGATGAGGAGACGTAGGATAAATCGAGTCTAGCATCTCGCCGATGCTTCTATGAGAATAGAAGACACATTTCGACTTAAGAGTAGGCTGCCCACTTGGCCCAGAACTGAACATGATTCAGATATGTGGAAAAGCAAAAGCAAGCTACAATAATAACTTGTCAATTGTAAGTCACCGTAAATATTCACGCGTCCCTCGCTGATTAAAGCAAACTTCCGGTGAATCTAGCTTTTCTCTCAGGAGAGTACTAATAACTAGCCGCTTCGCGACATAACAGAAACTTGAGTTCATCTACAAAATTTTGGACTATTAAAGCTTTGTACAACTAAGCAATTATAGGAGGGAAAGGGGCTAAAACGCATTCCTTGCTAGGCTCGTTTAGAAGCAGACATTCTGCCTGTATCAACGGGACGCAATCTGTTCCGAAATTTTCTTCTCAGCAAACGCATACTGGAAAGGGCACAAACTGTGCCATCGGTAAATTATCCTGAGGTATGTATGGCTAGACTTAATAACTCCCCTAACAATTAATAATCTTTGCCTCCTAAGTATAGGAAAGTGCAAAACAAACGGTCAAGAAGTGAACAAATCCCCTCGATTATTCATTCAGCATAGGTCTAGTTAGGGAGAACACACTGGGGGAATAAAAGAGCTCTTCCTAGACAACGCTCACCAGCCAGAGGGCTCAATCTTATCCATGTTCAGCTTGGCTTCAACAAGCCACTTTAAAAAGGGAAGTCAATCCTGTTCAAGTTTAACGTCAAAATGCCGAAGTATAAAGGTGCGTCGAAACTATCATAA